AACAGCATTTATCTCGAGATTGTCAGGAGAAGTCATTTCATTTCTTATGATTCATTTCATTTATACGTTAGTATATTAACTGGATACATTATTGATCTTTGCTCCATCCAATTTCAGTTTCTATGGTACAGACAAAGTGATCTGACAAATATCACTCCTGGCTTTTTTTTTTTTTTTTTTTTTTTTTTTAAGCACAGGAGTGTCTGACGCATGTCTCAGGAAAACATTTCATTGTATTAGACATACTGTCAAAGGAACACGTTCTGGAACAAGCAACTGCTTTTGAGGAACAAGTTACTACGAAAGTCTGCCTTTTCTAGAGTTTGTACTAGAATATCTAGAAAACTGTGTTCTTCTAGATACTATGCTTTCCTCTCTTCTTGATCGGAAAAAGGCAAACATGGAAGCAGTGAGGACAGCCCTGGTACACAAAAAAAATAAAAGTTGTCAATCAGTGAATAAATCTGCTATGCACCTGGGTGAAACCACCTTTCAAGCAGAGGGCCACTTCAAACATATACAAGCCGCAGATGTCACTCTTCAGAACCACAAGTCTTTCACTCTAAGTATCATTTATAGCTGCTATGAATACCATGGTTGGCCCTGTTACGTTCATCTGACAGTCTCTGAAGCATATTAAGAAGCCAGACATTAAAAAAAGGTAACAAAATTAGCACCAGCAGAAAGCACACTAAGAATGTGCTCCTAATTCTGAGGTGGTCAACGCACATGACCAGCATACAGGTGTGCCCAGGCTGCTATTTAATTTTATTTGGACAGGCAGCAGGATTTGTAACTATTTGAGAATCTTTCTTCACTGTTCCCCTAGCCCTCTCCCATTTTTGGCACGCATCGAGTTCTAAAACCCTGGATTAAGACACTATAAACAGGTTTTACTATGCAGTTGACTCAAAAGAGAGAGAGAGAGAGGAGCAAGTGCTGGCATTCTGGTTGTTTTGCAGTAACTCTGATTAGAGGCCAGCAAGATCAGGGTCCCACTGATAAAGGCACTACATAAAAGAAGAATAAAGGAGTTACTTTCCCAAGAGTTTACAGTGAAGGCAGACAAAGAATCTGAAAATTACTTAAGTAATCTGCAAGCCAAAGGACAACTAACATCACATCTCTTCCACTAATTCTCTCTAGACACAGAGGCAGCACTCTCCTAGCAGTTTTAGCTTCCCACAGGAAAAAGAGGTGATCTTTACAGTGACTGTGTCAGTGGATGCTCACATCCTCCATTCAAACTCTTCTGCACTGCTGAGATCTTCCTGATCTTCGTGGCTGCTGCACACCAGTCACAGTTTGCTGCATACAGAGTGTTCTGCAAACACAAAAGTACTGCCAAAGTCAGCATTTTTTTCCCTGTGGAAGGCAGCCCTTGGCAGTAACAATTTGCTTCTGATATTTAAAATGGCTGATCTCACACCCATTTTCTGGTCTTCTATGATTTTTCTCATGGGCAGCCATTCCAACTCATCCCGTTAAAATTTCCCCCTTCACATTGTAACACTACTTCGACAGTGCCACTTTTTAATTCAGCTGTCTCCAACTGACAATAAGCATTACTGGCCAAAATTTAACCCATTAATTGAAATGCAGTTAGCCAAGCTGTTCAGGTGGGACTCTTAATTTCGAGTTTCAGAAACTGCCTGCAGTGAAGCAATTACCGTCAAATAAAATATGCCAACCTGATTTTGTTCTCCGAAATGCGTGTCCTGAGCGCGCGTTCCCTACCCGGCAGTGAAGTGCGCATGCGCCATCTTACGGTCACCGCGCGCCGGTGCGAGCCCGCGGGCCAGGCCCTTCACCGGCAGCCTCCTACAGGCTTGGGCCGGCGCCACCACCGCGGAGGTTTTAACCCTGCCGGTGCTTTTAGGCCCGACTAGGCCCTCTGTAGACAGCATCGTATTTTATTAGACTCGCATTTAACAGAGGTGAAATTATCGCTTCAAATAGGGCGCTCATCTGACAGAATAAACATGTTTAAAACTAGGACAAGTATAGTATGGCAGGCTACATAGCAGCTTCTTAGGGTTATTTACTCTTTAATATTGATACAGATGCATAAGCAGCCTCTCTGTTTAATTTTGGTCTTTACTGTCTCAATTCTTTGCTATCCTCTTGGTCCTCTTAAAAGGAATACTGTTTTGGTGTTTAAGTCCTTAGGGGAGAAGGAAACGGTGCAGGAACATTGCCTAATCTCCTTGTTCTCTTAAACCAAATTGCTTCAGTGGTTTTTCTTCTGTTCGTTGGTCGTTTTAACACATAACTGGACCTAGCTTAGCCCCAGAGTGTAGCGGTTTTGGAGAGAGGTAGAGCACATTTTCAGATGACAGGAGATATTTCATTAGAAACAACCATATGTGGGCCTTACCAATGCTTCATGAATTACCTAAGACTCACACTAAATAGCCATTGTGCTAAGTGTGCATGTAATACACAAAGACAGCAAGGAAATAACTGTTCTTACACAGTAGGAAAACAGAGCACTCGCCTTGTGGTTGCTAAGGAATATAAACAGTGATGCAGGGATCTGCCACGTGAATCCAGCGGGGATAAGCATCCAAACATTTGTAGTTCCTAATTTCTTTTTTTTAAGATTTGTTTCAATAGGATGACACTGTAATTGGCTAGGAGACCAGACAAAGCCCACAGAAATCAATGAAAATCTTTCTTATGACTTCTCTGGGCTTTGGTCTGTGCCACGAGCTGCAACATTGACAGCCTGGAAATGAAAAAACAAGATTACGCAAAAAGGAGCTCAGATGCAATTGGTGTTTTCACAGCCAGCTCCCCGCAGAAGTTTGGTACCTCTGCATTTGTGGCTGCTTGGGGACATAGTCAATATACTTGGTGGTTTTCGTACTGGTTGTCATTCTCTAGGTTATTTCATATTTCTATACCTATCTTTTATTTTTGTCTGTACATCACACTATTAGAAAGCAATTACCTAACTTTGAAATTCTTCAGGCCTTAAAAGTTAGTAACGAATTTGATTTCCAGTGTAACATTATTCACATACCAACTAAGCAAACAATCCTTCCTTGTGTACATCACAAACTAGAAAGGAACTCCTTTTCTGTATCAATCCAGTCCATCTAATTATGGAGCCTTTCAGCAGATCTGAACGCTGCACAAAAGTCACCCAAACTATATATATATATCTTGCTATCCTGGGTTTAAGTGAGTGGTGGGGTTTTCTTTCAGTAGCAGGGGAGGGGGCTATAGGGGCGCCCCCCCTGTGAGAAGCTTCTCGAAGCTCCCCCAGCTCCAAGTCAGCTCCAACTCTGCACCAAAACTGAGCCCATCAGCTGCACCTCTGCGATAACGTATTTAAGAAGGGACGTGGTGACGGGCAGTGGGACTGGTGAGGAGGAGTTGCTGCAGCTGCCTGAACACCAAGGTCAGTGGAGGAACGGAGGAAGAAAGGAGGGGGGAGGTGTGCCGGAGCAGAGACCCCCCTGTATCCTGTGGTGAGATGGCAGGGCGGCCCCCCCTGCCACCCATGGAGATCTACGGTGGAGCAGACACTGATTATGGCCTATGAGGTGTTTTGCATGGATGACCAAGGTGTCTGTGCCCAAAGAAGGCCGGGTCCTTGTGGGAAGAGGCAGCCCCCGCTGCTGTAATTCAGCGCTGGGAGGATTGCAGCATGCGGGGGAGTCCCACGCCGGAGCAGCTCGGGAAGGGCTGCAGCCGTGGGAGGGAATCCAGTTGGAGAAAGTTGGTGACCCACACCAGAGCAGTGTGGGGAAACATTGTGGCCCAGGGGAGGGACTCACATTGGAGAAAGTTTGTGGAGGTGGAAGACTGTCTCCTGTGAGAGGGGGACTACAATGGAGCAGGGGAAGAAGTTCCAGAAGCTCCCCCTCCAAAGATGGAAGAAGCAGCAGCACTGACTGCACTCCCTGTTCCCTTCCCCATGTGTTGCCAGGGGGAGGAGGTAGAGATATCAGGAGCAGAGCTGAGCCCGGGAAGAAGGGATGGGTGGGGGGAAGGTGTTCTCAGGATGTGGCAATGCTTCTCACTGTCCTACTCTGTTACGTGTTGTTAGTGTCTGTAATAAATCTATGTTCTTTTTAGATTCCCCTAACAAGTCTGCCTTTTGCCCATGACCATAATTGGGGATTTGCCCCTCCCCATCCTATCTCGAATCCCAAGCCTAGCTTATTGGTCCCTTCTTATCACTGGGAAATAAGGGAGGACTGAACAGCTGTGTGGTGCTCAGTTGCCCTCTGAGCTCAAACCATGACACCTTAAAGGCATCTCCTCTTTTTCTAGAGTCATTCTGCTCTTATACTTCAGCTTTGCCTTGAGCAGGTTTTGGAAGGTACCAGTTACCAAGCGGTTTAAGCACTGGGCACCTTAAAGCCTGCTGCTTTACGGATTTAAAGCCTAGAAATGCTCACCCCTTCCAGAATTTTTACTCTCTGGCCTCCAAGCTAACTAAGAAGCTTTACACGTTGCAAAGCGTGCCTGATTTTGCATGTCACTGCACTGATTTTTCAGTCTACTTTATACCTAGACCCCTCTCTTCCACTTTGCACTCAGGAGCAAGGCCCACGGCAGCCCTGAAGTGCCAAAGTCCAAAGCCATGGCTAGAACATGACAGTGTGTCTCTGGACCTTTCTACGTAGCAGCAGCTACAGTCACGTATGTGGCACAAACAGCAGCGTGGGACACCCAGCCAGGGCACGTCGCAACACAAATGATGCTGCTCGTTTGGGGAAAAAAAAAAAAAAAAAAAATTTACTTTCAGATATCCCACATCAAATTGTGACCCAAACCTTGCTTCATCAGCAGAAGCTTTAGTGAAAATATGGTAAAGTGGGCTAGAGCGTAATTCCGTTGGAAAATGAGAATGTTTTTGCAGTGCTTTAACCAAAGCAAGTTCCTTCCTCCCGGGCAGCTCCAGAAGCACCAGCGCAAGGAGCAGCAGAAGCACAGGCCGAAGCTTGGAGCAGGAGGATAAACCGCCGTCCAGAGAGAAGGCAAACAAGAAAAAAAAACCTTCTCCCCCGCCTCCCCCCGGCGCTTGCCCAGCCCGCCGCGGTGGCCCCCTGCCCCTCGCCCCGCAGCTACCGAGCTCCGTCCCTCCTTCCCAGGACGTTACCCCGAAGGCACCGTTGGGGGGAGCCGTGCGGTTTCCGACTTTCGCAACGAATCGGCCGCTGAGCGAAACGCGGCCCGAAGCCGCCTCCGCGGCCCCGCTCCCCTCGCCGCCCGCAGCCACCGGCGCCGGCCAGGCCCTCCCGCTGCCCCCCCGGCTGTACGCTCCCGGAGCGGGCGGGCCTGCGGGCGGGCCTGCTCCCGGAGCAGCCGCCGCCGCCCCGGCCTGTCGGTAGGTGAGGGGCCGCGGCGGGGACGGAGGAAGGCGGCGGGGTGGCGGCGGCGGGTGGGCCGGGGTGGCCCTGGTTGCGGCTTCGTCCCCGCTGGGAAGGGGGGCGGGGAGCAGCGGTGGGGTGGTCCCGGGAGTCGCGGGGGGGTGAAGCGCTGCCTCACCTCTCCGGTAAAACACAGCCGGAGCCCGCCTTGGTGTGGAGGTGGCGGCGGGGCCTCGGCGTGCCCGGGGGGAAGCGCTGCTTCAGGGAGAGGGAAGTTAACAACGGTATTTTCAGAAAGAGTGAGGTTGGGGGTGGTGGGGTTTTTTGGGGTTTTTTTTTTTTTTTTGAAGCAGCCTTGCTCACCAGATCATTTTTAGTTGCTGTGGTGGCTAGAGGATTATTTTCTGTGAATTCGGTAGGAGCACATTGGGAGGGGATAGTCAAAATGACAGGGTCTCTTTGCCCTTCCTTGCGTTCCCACGCTTCACTTCCTTCGGAAGGAGATGGCTTCCCTGTGAGAGCAGGCCTTGGGCCTTCCCACAGGACTGCAGCTCGCTATCCACTGGATCTCAGTCCCAGAGAAAAAAGGGGAGGAAAACCACTCAGCTGAAGCATTTTGAAAGACATTCGTAATTATCCTTCCTAAGGTGGGAAAAACAAAAAACAAAAAACAAAAAACAAAAAAACAAAACAAACCCCAAACCTCTTAACTTTACAACTGTTGTGACGCAATGATAGCTTGCAATCATTAAAGCACTTTAAATGCAATACTTAAAACAGCAAAATAGAGCTGGATTCACATTTTAAGAGAGCTGGTTGTGATTTAAGATCTGTCAGATCCTCAAATTTGCAATCTGCCTTTAAAACTCTACAGTTGGCAGTAAAGGGAGAAGGGCTTTTTCCTGTTCACTGGCACACCAACAAATTCCCCAGATCAAAACCATACTGCTATTTGTTTTTATCAAAACAGCAGCATCTGGCCAGATGTTACCATGCCAGTGTCATTGGGAAACAGTGACAGAACCCATGAGTATGAAACAGAAAGGTTTTCCTTTATTTCAAAAAGTAAAATAAATTCCAGCGCTGATTTTAACATAAGTTGACAATTTATGATAGAGCACATCTATGGAGATGACAAATTAGAAGCATTACTTGTGGGAGATGCACATACACAAAGCACTGGGGTTCCTATTCACTTCTCTAGCTTCTTGTCCCAACTAATTACTCTTTCCCCGTAGATATGAATTACTCCCGGTTCATCACCACTGTGAGTGCATCAAGAAAAGCATCACCAATAAGACTTCTGAGTGAGTATATGCTGTTTATTTCCAGATTCTCTGGAAGAGTATTGTTCTACATTCTGGACTTTGCTGGGATATCATGGCTAAAGGCTTCAAAAAAACGTGCTGTAAGCTGACAACCAAGGCCAATTAACTGCTTCGACTTTTGTTAAGTTTAGATGTCAAGCAGGTATAAAGAAAAGTGAATAGCCTTGAACCATTTCAGAAACCCATCCAGACAGAAGTAGTAGTACCATCACTTCAACATGTGTCTGAAAAAATCTCTGCTACTGCCTCTGAAGCAGGGCTTTTGGCATAGTTTACTACTGAATTTACACTGGCTGTCCAAGAACAAGCAGCTGCTAATGACTTGAAATTCAGTCCCAGTGTAGTGTTTCTTTCCACCTAGCATTCCTATACACAGTCAATGTCCATAAATTCCTCACCACCCCTACCCCCTCAGTGTTACTACACTTTCCTTTTCTACATTACACTATCTTTAGGCTACTGTGTTACATATTCTCCTGTGTGACAGATAGAAAAGGTTAACTGCCCTATTGTTTACTCATTTGAAACCTACAGGGACTTGGCGGAATCAGGGCATGAGACATACATCACTAGTTAAGCCTTCAGGCCAATTTCTGCCTTGGTAAGGGGTTGGAATTTGTGGTTTTGCTTAAAATGCTTCATACAGGTACAGCTAAGTCAACTAATTCACTCTAGTCACTGTCTATACTTTTTCAAGTGATACATTGATACGCATCATAACACAAATATTAAGTAGCACAGCTTGTGCAGAAAGACACACTGAGGCTGCAGTTTTGATGACGAAGTAAACCACTTTACCAGACCAAAAGTCACAGACATGACCCATATTGCTCAACTGATAAGAATTAACTCCCCACGCTCAAGTTTAGTAATAAATAGTGGAGAATAAACTTGATAACAGGAGGCTTTAAGCCTGATCTGGTGTGATGTGTCCTCTAATATTTGATGTAATAGTGTCAAGCCAGCATGAATGCCATATTGTAAATTCTTAAATTTAATGCAGTCAAGTTCCCTTGATGGATTAAGGTCCAGTTTGCACTGCATAGACTGGATCTGAATGACTCTGAAACTGTGACTTTAAGGCAAGAGTTGTTAACGTGTTCGTCATACTGAATTACTTACACAGTGCCTCCGCCACTGAAGCTGGATGCCAGAAACATTCCCTCTCCCTTGTGGAAAAGCTATAATCATATATGGAACTATCAGTGTAGCTGTGCTACTGCCACATCAGCTAAAGTGAGACTGAACAAAAACCAAAGCCAGTCATTCCAAGTCAGTCTAAACAGATGATCATGAAGGTTTTAAATTCTTGAAGCTTAAAAGACATCAGTCACAGAGAAGGTTTTTATAATAGTAGAACAGTCCAGATAAATTATAAATAGCTTTATGTTAAAACAAAGATGATTTTTTGTTTTGGTCTGTCCCACCTGCATCTCCTTGCCCACCCCCAACACCTATTTAATCCAAATATAAAGGTGAGTTGAAAAATAATTATCGTCCTTTAGAATTCATGACAGTTAAAAAATAAAGTGAAAAAATGGAACAAACTTCTCTGGACCAGTATTATATACTGACTAAATGATATGATCAGTGTTGCAATAATCAAATTGTAACCAAGGTCTTTTCCTTTTGCTCTAGCTGAATTGATGCAGAAGTCTCCTCCATCTCTCATCTCTCTGGCTGGAGGAGCACCAAACCCTAATGTTTTCCCATTTAAGAGAGCTACTGTTGCCATTGGACATGGAACTGCTGTTGAGATTGGGGAAGATCTGATGAAGAGAGCTCTCCAATACTCAGCCTCTGCAGGGTATTTGTCAGAGCTGCTTGCACTTCAAGATACCAGAATCAAAGGATCATGAAATCATTTATTATTGCATTAGTTCACCCATATTTCTAAAAGTTGTAAAATACGTGTTTTACAAAACCAAGTTTAACATCTTTCAAGTTGTCTCATGTTTTACATTTCAGTTTAAGGAGAAAGTTTTGAGCAGATGAGTAATTTAAAAGAAGACCCTCATACTAGTAATTCTCAAGCCAGAGCATTTCCTGGCTGTTACTGTTTGAGAATCCAGACACCCAAATCACTAGGAGGAATAATTTTGTGTTTTGCACTAAGATACTGTTTAGAAGATACTGCATTGCAATACATAGTTTCCACATTCTGCAGTATTTCTTTTGCTTTCATTTGGTACCATATATTAAAGCCAGTAGGTACTACTTGTGGTAGAGTTCAAGGTATTTACAGTATTATCATTTGTAGTGTAAAAATTGTGCATCGATAAGTTCCTTTAGCACTCGTGAACTCCCCAGCAGACAGCACTGAGTCAGGCTTGTGACAGGTTTGCAAAAAATTAGATAACACATTTAAATGATCCCAGCCATTTGTGAACATCCTACAAGATCTTAAGACATTTTTTGAAAAATCCTTTTCAGAAATCCTTACTATATGCAGCCTATTACCAGCAGTATTGCAAGTTTTGCCCCATTGCCACATTTGAGTATGGAAAGATCACTCCTAGGAGTTGATATTGTTCAGCCTCCACTCCTATTCCAACCTTGGCAAATCATTTTCACCCAGATTTCAGTATAATTTGGTATATGAACCACAGATGCCCATCAATTCTGCTTTTCCATAAGAAAAATTTATCGCCTTTTCATCACTTGATAAAGCAGTCAAAATGAGCATTTAAATGTATCTGTGTGAAAGCTGAAATCAGACTCAGGACTGTGTGCTACATTTGGTGGTGGTTTAGAGGAACAGCCTAGCTTCAGCCTATGTAAGATTTCAGATACAGTTTATTTTATTCATTTTCCAGCATTCCAGAGCTGTTGTCTTGGCTAAAGGATTTCCAGCGGAATCTACATAATCCCCCCACAGCCAACTACAGTCCTGAGCAAGGACAAATGGAAGTGTGTGTCACAACTGGCAGCCAGGAAGGCTTGTGTAAGGTAAGACTAAAAGCTTCGTATGTTAAAAGCATTTCTTCCAGAGATGTTTATTCTTCCATCAGTTCAGTTATACTCAGCATTAAGTGCAACCATACAACTATACGCAGGGTACTTTGTTAAATATATGTCTCACAGTATTATCAATACCAGGTAATAGAACTGAAATAGAACTGGTGTGGCAGTCTAATCTATCAGGACTGCATGAATGTTTGGGTAAACCGAAGAGCCTGTCAGAAAATATACTACAAGGTAACATTTCATGTTATTCAAGTAGTGCAGTAAAGTACATAGGTGCATTATTTGCTTTACCATAACTCAATTCTAATTATGTTAGATTTTCTTAAATAATTACCCTTTCCAGTCCACTCTCACTGCTGTTTTGTTGATCCTTTCTGTAACTGAAGCACTGTTCCTATAAGAGTGCTGTCTTTCCGTTTCAAGTTGGTATTCTCTAGCTGATTACCTATCTTCATTTGGCTCTAAACCAGATTTTTCATCTGTTCTGTATTTTTCTCACAAACAGCATAATCAAATGGTTAGGGACTTATTAATATATATTCAAGATTTTTTAATACCAGTAAGAAGTCAGGAGTATGAAGCATATGTACAAGAATGGCACAATCTTTCTAAAATAGACTCTTTCTTTTACAGGTGTTTGAAATGCTCATTAACCCTGGGGACAACATCCTTTTGGATGCACCTACATACTCTGGGACACTAGCAGCTGTAGGTATTCTTTGGCTACAAAACATTGTGAATGTTCCATGTGAAGTAAACAGCAATTTAGTACCTGGTCTGCAGGCTTATATACGCTGTCTGTATTTACTGTAAAAACATCTAAGAATCAAGTTCTTAGTATTAATCTAATTAAGTTCATCAATATTAATTCATAGAAGCTTTTCTCCTAAAAGTTTATAAAAAACTATTCCCAGGACAGGAGTTCCTCTTCAAAATCCTAGTCCATTCTAGGGCTGAGGTCATGTTTGCGATTGGAAAGCAAGCCATCACAACCTAGTCAGGTTGAAGCAAATTTATAACAAGTGGGTATTTGAACACCTCAGCGCATTCACCTGAAGTATTTCATGGTCTGATTATACCATAGCTATAAATAATATAAAAATTGGAATAGGCCTGAAACACCCATATATGAATATAAAGATGTGAATTAGTAAGAACTATTGAAAAATAGCAAAGTTTACTTCTGAAAAGTAACTTAATCAGTATGTAATTAAATGTCAGCTCAAAACACTTGAGAACTATAAGAAGGGTTAGAATAGATAATACACCACAATTTCAGTCTAGTGTCCCCTTGGATCAAAAGGAATTTTATTATTGTTTGCTGTGCTAAGTTTGAATATATCTTGTCAAATACACTTTGTTAGGAATATAGTTTGACAGTGCAGCAACTAGCATTTTTCATTTAAAATGCAGAGCAGTAGACAGTACAAATTGAAATTCCACAGAGGGAAGACAACATGCGTTTTTGTTGGTATTTTTACCTATATTTTTTCATACTGCTGTCAGCATGTCATTGCAGTAGCATCATTTCATTCTCCTTTGTATTGCTGAATATATCTGTTGAGAACAGATTCTTTGCCCTTTGTCAGTGAAGAATAGCTTATAGTTCTGGCACTTCCACTGAAGTAGAGCATAAATTGTCAGTAGGAAACGAAGGTGCAATGAACTTACTATCTGTGGTGAGAACATGAGTCCTGAGAGAACACAGTTCAAATTCACAAAATCCCTTTCTGCTTGCAAAGCCATGTGTGATTCCCTAGAGAAGAGCAGCAATTGGACATAGGAGCTATCCATTTCTTCTCAGTTGAGTAACATAGAAAGTTTGGCAAGCTTCACAGCAAATTCAGGCAAATATTCTTTTGAATCATGATCAAATGGAGTTTGCGATAGCTATAAAGTCAGAAAGACTTTATTAATTAAATTTTACAATGCCTATGACAAAAGGAAAACCTTTGGATTAGGGGATTATGACAGTTTTGTTCCTTCTATCAACAGCTGAGACCTTTGGGTTGTAACATAATTAATGTTCCTAGTGACCAACATGGCATTATTCCAAAAGCTCTAAAAGAAATTCTGTCTACTTGGAGCTCAGAAGACGTGAAAAATCGGAGCCACCACCTCCCCAAATTCCTGTACACTATTCCAAATGGCTGCAACCCAACTGGAAACTCTCTGACCGCAGAGCGCAAGAAGGAGATTTACCAGGTGTGTAGCTGAGGTCTTACAAACTTTGTAGGTGAAAATGGATAAATGTCAGTCTCTCTTCAGTTGAGAATACCCCATGTGTGGAATTTGGGCCCGTTATTGGTCCAGTAAACAGTCCTCCTAGAACTTGATTCTAGCAGGACCTCTTTCATGACAACTCTTCAGAGGTGGACTATGTCTTAAATAACTTTTTGTTTTTTCAGTCTCAGCCCATTGCTGGCTGGTATCTTTGCCATGGGCTTCAAACTGAACTTACTGCAAGTTTTCTGCACAGTTTGAATGCTGCATGGAACAGACCTTCAGTTATATACGTGTGGTCCTTGTACTGCAGGTATCAGGTTTACTCTTGCAATTGCTTGATATCTAAATTGGGCATTTGAAAGCTTCTCTTGATAGGGTGCTGTATACAAGGAATAAGTAATCCTTAGGATCATAATATGATCCTGGTAATAGGCCCAGGGTTTAGGAAGAACTGAATTTACAGTGTCTTTACTCTTTTTAACAAAACTTTACTTTTTATTCATTTCTGTAGCTTGCAAGAAAATATGATTTCCTCATAATAGAAGATGATCCTTACTACTTTCTTCAGTTTGAAAAGGTAATTTGTCTTCCATAATCCTTAGTAACACCTTCTTTTCTGGTCCAGGAGAGAACTAAGGTTTGAACCATGGATCTTCCTGCATGCTTCTTCATGTCATGCCAAGGTAGTTGTAGGCCTCACGGTCCATGCTACTTCCACTTGTCCCCTTTGTGGTATTTTATTGCATCAGTCCTGTTGCTCAGTGGTTCAAATTCCTCAAGCCTTATACAGGACAGAATTTCCTTCAGAAGCTAGAAAATGGCAAAGCCTTTGCCTCCAGACAAAAACAAGCATGCCACCGAAGCAGCACTTGAAAATAGCAACCTCCTAACGTTCCTTTCAGCCCAGTCTCTTCTTTCATTTGGTCAAAGACTGCCTACTCTCAATCTGCTGTGTCCCATTGTTACTCCTTTGCCTTTTGGAGAACTCAAGAGAGTTCTCCCAGATACCACAGGAGGTAGCACTGAGTAGGCAGCTTCCCTCCTTCGCACAAATTTTCCCCCAGTGGGTAACAATGGAGTGTTGACCTGTCTTCACACATAGATCTACAGTTGCGCAGCCTACGAAAGTATGTAACTTCAGAAATAAAAGTTGGTCTTAGAAAGCAGAACAGCATTGGTAGAAGCTAAAGGTCAGTATTTTCTATTTTGAAATATGTTTTTATGAGAAGAGGTAATAGAGCTGCCTCACGCTAACAGAGCTACACAATGCTATTCAATGAGTAAGGAGAGAAGGTGCAAGGGTAGAATTCTTGATAAGGAAAAAGTGAGCTGAAGTCAGATCATCAAAATTTGTTCATAGCTTTATCTTAAAAAAGGAAATAAGATAAGAGCTACAGGGCCCCATCTCTAGAAATTATAGTATCTGTTTACTTCAAAAAAATCTTGGCAGAAAACTCATTATTTGTCTTTCCTACATATGGCATCATACCAAAACTTAACTAAACATTTGTATGCTGAACACTGGGTTTAGCATCAAAAACTTAACAAGGCTGATTTCTTGAGGACTTTCATAGAACACGGTAGTCACATCTCAGACAGCCTAAACAATCACTTGTCAGCAAGTTACTGCATATATTTTTTCCTTAGAATGCATATCTGTAAAATATTTACTATCAAAGTATTTTAAGAAATTAATTATGTCTTCATAGTAAAGAAAATAGTTCCATCATAATCCGTACTAACACCTTGAATTATATTTTTTATTTTTCTTCCAAGCCATGGGTTCCAACTTTCCTCTCAATGGATGTGGATGGCCGAGTTATCAGGACCGACTCTTTCTCTAAAATTCTCTCATCTGGGTAAGGCCAGCTTCAAGCTGCTCAGCATTGACTGTTCAGTTAAGGCACAAGGCTAATACTTCATACAAAATGATCAGACACATCATAGTGGTTTTTCATCTAATACCTATCCATTTCTGGAATGTACTTTAGGATCCACAGCTTTTCTCAGACAGCTCGCTTTTCATGTCATCTCTTCTCAATCATTTATCTCCAGGTTCTATTTCTCTTCCAATACTGATAGTTAAGCCACTCTCCCCAAGCAGCCCATCCTTGCAGACACCATCTAGGCAGAAAGACAGATGCTGGATACCAGCTCTGTTCCCGGAACTCCTAGGAGCTTTTCTCTTCTTTTTCCATTTCTCCTATCTTTTACCATTCCTGCAGACTCCCTGAGCTTTTAAGACAGAATAAAAATTATGGCATCATTCTCCACAAACTATTCACAGGGTTATACTGATCTCTCATCTTCTAGTCTTACAGTTCTTTCAGGTTGTTTCCACCTGCCTGAACAACTAAACTGGCTGTTTAATATTTCACACAAGCCATATACTTAATTTTTAACTTGCTTTTATTTATTATCGTAATAAGCATAAGAAAGTAGTGTGAATTCTGCACTGGCAGCTAGTGGATTATAACCCCATTTCTGAGAAAGTGTGGAAACAACATGGTGCTAAGTACAATTGCACTTTCAGAAGTGACACTGCAAAAAGCCATGATGCCATTTTATCTTTGTCAAAGATGCATATGAGCTTAGTGGTTGTATTTTTCTTTGAAGAAAAACTTCAGCCAATCTGTAAAGATGTGTCATAAGAATTAAAGCATGAATAAGAATGTAGTTTATCAGTCTAAATTCCTTTCAGGACTGTAGAATAGATGGAAGTCAAAGAGTAAAGCTGTTTGCCGCTTCCCATCTGTTTTTCATAAAGCCTGAGCATTCATGATTTTTCGTTATATGAAAACCTATCTTTCCTTCCCTTTGATTCATGTTATCTTTGTGATTGCAGAGGAAAGCTTACAAATGTGGGATATGTCCTGAAATCTCAGAACTAAGAAGCTACTGTAAACATTAAAAACCCTTAAATGTTTTTATTTCATGATTTTGATACTCAGCTCATCAGTTGCATCAGCCTGGGGCTTAGAGCAGTATTAAGATATATATAAACTTAAATACATAAAAGATCCTTAAAATATTAAATGGTTACACCTTTTCCCAGTTGTAAGTTAAACCATAACTCACACAAAGTGTTAGGACATTGCATTTCTGTAGTAACTCTCTTTTTTTTTATTTATAGGTTAAGAATAGGTTTTCTAACAGGTCCCAAGCCTCTTATCGACAGAGTTATTCTACACATTCAGGTTTCAACAATGCACACCAGCACTTTCACACAGGCAAGTACCAAACTGCCAACTGAATTGTATTTAGAAAAGATAACATATGCCAAGTCATAAGAAACCACAAACAGCTTTGCACTTCTGCAGTTTTGTTTGTAATAAGCACGTACGTTGTCAGTTCTCCCAAGAGAAGAGAGACCGCCATAGAAATTAAAACCAGAGCTAGGGAGTGCCTCAGTGCATGGAGAGCACAGCTAATACACCTTTAACCTGCAGATTTCAGGACTCAGGATCTATAATACTTTATGTCTCTTGCTAGTAGGTTCACTTGAAAAACTTCAATGTCAAGTATACATTGGAAGTTTTTTTATGTTTTTCATTCTGCTTTGTAATTAGAACAATACTGGCAGCCCACAAAGATGTTACAAAGTGGGCTGCCAACTCCAGCCCCTTTAGGGCTGGTAATAAGGAAAGCAAACATTGAGCACATCTAAATACGGCTTCCATCTTCCAGCTCCCTTAGGTCATCATAGATGCAGCATTAAAGCAGAGAGGCTGATACAGGTAGGGAGGTAAAGCAATATACATTGCCTTCCTTTTTCTCCATGATTACCATATTTTGCTCTCCATCCATTTTTCCCTTCCCCCACCCCAACCCCCAAACACTGCCATGACCCTTGGAGACAGCAGTAACATGGACTATAACAGCCTGTTGCTGTTGCCACCTCTGTTTATAAAGGGCTCCAAGAGACCCTGCATGCAATTTCTTGCCTGTGTGGAATTCTGAATAAGGCATCAGGCTATGTATCTTTTGATGATTGCAGAACAGTCCTGTTTAAAATACGCTATTGATGATGTGTTTTATTTCTTTAGATTATGATATCACAGCTGCTTCAGCAATGGGGAGAAAAGGGTTTCTTGGAGCATATAGACAGGTAGGGTCATGTCGTATGCTGAACCCACCATCTGCCATTCCGCTTCTTGTTACCTACATAAAACATTCTTTGCAGTAAACAGCTCAGAGGAGGTGCACCAGGGTGAGGCCAAACGGGTAACCCAGGTCACAAGGCTTAACGCTATTTGCATGAGAGTCCTGAAGCAGCTCAGTGTGGTGCTGCAGACATGCAGGTCAGGGCATGTAACCTACCACTACAGACCACTGAGAGTCATTATACAGCTCCCATCTGAAGGGAACTCAAGAGGAGCCTGGGATCTCCAAGTCAGTGAACAAAATTTTCATCCCTGCTAAAGAGTGAGGGTCTGTAGCAAAGGCTAAGATTACTGAGCACATAATCTATTGAGAAAGAGTCAGCATAGCTTCTATGCCTCACTAACTCAGCAGGGAATCACTCTCTAATACCCTTAATCTAATGATTGTAGATGCTGATGGAAAGACCTAGAGAGAGCGGTGAGGTTCACCCACACTCACTAAGCATTGCCTTACCACTCTTGGAGACAACACTGGGCTAAGGTCTAACTCAGCAAGGCATTTCTTGCATACTGACTGTCAAGGATTTATTTTTCATTTATTAGGCAGGAGGAGCACAGTGTCTCTTGAGTATCCCTGCTTCATTTCAGATGCCATACTCAGATGCCATTAGAACCCAAGCTTCCCACTTCTGTGGGTGCTGTGCTACATTCTACAGAGGCCTGTGAGAGGAATGTGAGCAAAGCATGGAAAAAGTTCTTATATCTGACTGTAACAATCACTTCTGTTCCCTGAGGGCCTGCCTGTTGTCCATACCTCAAACACCAGTACTTAAAAAAAAGCCAAAGCAGATACACCAGCCCTAGTTTTCCCTTGTTTTAAGAATTAGGAACATAAAGATCGTTTTTTCAGGGAAACCTGAACCACACTTCAAGTTTCAGCAGTTTGAAAAACATATCCTAAACACATCTCTTCACTTGCTTTCTTGTAGGCCAGAAGGCATCCTTGCTCAAGCCAGAAAGCTGGTCTTCTGAGCTAATGAAAACAGGGCTGCAGTAAGGTAGCTGCAACCCTTTATAACCTTCTAGACTTACTTGTCATGTGACTTACTGATGATGCCCAACTGCTGACTCTAACCTATTCCAGGTGATTTCATTTGGACAAGGCTGACTTGTTAGATCGTGCTTTTGAGTAGGAACAGGCTGGTCGTTTGGAGCAGCTACATTTTTGTGGAAGTCTTCTCTTACTAACAGTTATCATTTCATTCCAACATGAAAGTAAAATGGTAGCAGAAAGACAAAAAACTTGTAACAGAATTTGTGATGTAGTAAAAACTGCGTAAGTGAGATTTTTACCATTTCATGCAGAATGTAGCAATTAGTATAGGCTGAGTCCCAAAACTATTAGTGGCACCTTTGGTGGTGTTGCTGTTTGTCTATCAGGACTAATAAAATACATCCAGAAATCAAAGCTAGTGGTTCAGAGAGTATTACAAAAAGTCTAAATGTAAAACTATGGAAATTACTAAGTAATTTTTGTCTGTTGAGATGGGAATACGTTTGCATCAGATTTATGAACTCTCTGTCAGGCATTTCTCTTTTGTCTCCCACTCCACAGCTGTCTCATGTCAACAAAAGCCACTGCACAAGACTTGTCCTCGTTGAAACTTGGGTTAGGGTCATTTTCCTCCGTAAGAGATTGAATTCTTTGGAAGTTTTACTCAAGGCGTGAAGGAGACAGGCTCAAAGTTTAGAAAAGGGGAAGCTGTCAAATAGTCATGACAGGTTTATCATATGAATTGCTTTTTTACCTTGTGAAATACCATTTCCATGCATACCTAATACACAAATTTAACCCAAATGCACAAATAGCGAGTCTGTGCTTTTGCATATGTCTGAGTCCTTTTCTCCAGTATGCCTGTTTGGTGTAGTAACTACTGCTAGCAGGGCTTGTATCCACTGATAGAATAGAATGGATATAATATATAAAGAGTTTCTATGATATACGTAAGGCTTAAGAAGCAGCCACACAGGTACTTCCTCTGTCTGGCTGATCAGTGCTTTGTTGGAGACATGCTGAAGCATTCAAGACTTCTCTGATACATACACAAAGTTTTATACATACAGTAACTGTGCTGTGCCCATCTAGGATATGCTCGTATTTCCCTTAGATGTGCACTTAGATTGTTCAAGTAGGAAGGCTTTGTTTCTGCCTTTGGAAACAAATGGACTCTGAAATGCTATGAGATCGTGATTTTGGATTGATAATTTACTTTCAGAGTGGTGAAGTTCTACCGGACACAGCGGGATGCAATGCTCATTGCTGCTGACAAGTGGTTAAAAGGTCAGTGAGTGCGACACAGCTAATTACTTTTTTTTTTTTCTAGCTATTTATCATCTTTGTGTTCAAGAAAAATCACTGAAGTTCATCTCGACTGAAGTGACAGATAAGCACTATAAGCAAATCAATGACATTAAATATTAAGCTTCGGACAAATTATCTAGTGCCGTTTTCATGCTTTTCTGGTGGGACCAGGAGATGGTGATGAGAAAAAAGCTCACCACATCACTGCATAAAGCAGTCTTATAAAGAGCATACATTTCACTATGTTCTTATACTTACTATGTTTAAAATCTCTGTCTGAAATAGCCGGATTTAGTGGCCTTAATTTAAAGGAAGATACAAACAATCGATACAGCAGTGGTGATAATCATTTTTTTGTCAGAAATCAATTTCAAATGTCCCCTTTTGTGATTAATCACAGAGCATAGAAAGAATTTGATCGACAATAATGCAATTATAGTTAGTGACTCGCTCCTTTTATTTGGTCTAAGTGGAATCAGCAATAACTGCTTAAGAACTGCCCAGCTACCTTAGATGATACCTCCATGGGACGGGGGTGCTTGGGCACCACACAATCATTAATGTACTTGCTCTTGCTAATTCCAGGTTTTTAGTTATGAAGTATTTCTTCTTTTTCTACATGGCTCTGAACATCTATGGGTTGTTGACCTAAGTAGGCCCTCTTTGTCTCAATTCCTCTAGTAGCAAAGCAGTGTAATAGTATTGGACTACCTTAAAGTGTATCGTGAGAATATACTCATGTAAAAGACTACAGGGTCTTCATGTTTTCTAGTAACAGGAGCCATAATATTATGGGAGACAGGCCTTTATTTTGTAGATATGTAATGGTTAAATACATCGAGGAAGACATCAAGTCAAATAAATAGTTTCTTCAAAAATATGTCCAAAACCAGATAAGGAATTCTAGGTAAACAAAAGTATACAGTAAGTCTGCAAACATAATTTAAGACATAGATCCTCTTTAAACCTTCCCGTCCTCCTCATAACTCCTAGCCTCTCCTTTTCTGTGGGGAAAAATTTATAATCATTGCAACCTAAAGAGAAACAAGTTTTGCGCTTTGCTATGCTTTAAATAATACTGATAGTCAATGTGATATTAAGAGAAACTGCATTAGAAAAAATTATTTTAGATTGTTTATTTGATCTGAAATTAATCAGCAAATATAGTTTGTTAATGTTTGGTATTCCTGTAATTCAGAGCAATCACTTTCACAAAAAGTACTGAGCATACCAGCTACAAGTGCAGTAAACCCACACAGATTTGGAGTACTTTAAATTTGGCAAGTGGCATCCTGGCTCTGTGGCCTACATTCCCTTTGAGTTCATTGGAGCAACAGATCTACATCATCAGTGAATCTGTGCTGTATCAGTGAAAGGTGGGGCAGAAGTTTCCTTCTGGATTCCTTTCTTTTCTCTCTCTCTCTCCAGACCTGGCAGAATGGTACCCTCCTGCTGCCGGCATGTTCTTATGGATCAAAATTAAGGGTGTTTCTGATACACAGCAGCTGATCATGGAGAAGGCTTTGCAGAAAGAAGTATGACCTATGGCTTAATAGCTTATGATATTAAACTGAAATGAAGGAAGAATAAAATAAATTTACCACATCTGTCCACACGTATGCACACACATAAAAAAGTGGGGGAACTTGCTGTGCAGCATTGAGTCTGCCAGTCAGGCATTGTTGCACAGTGACCCATTAATAAAATATTTTCACATCTGTATTCAGACGTTGGTATTTAATCAGCTTACTTAAATTTAAACCATTATAATATATGGTACAATATGTCATGTATACAACATATGTATATAAAGTATTAATATATGTACCTGTATGAATTATGGCTGTCTTCTGTATCTTTTTAATAAGAGAAATTAAGTGTGATTTTATTTCTACAATTTATAAGAGTTAGCACCGTGTACTGAGTAAACTACATCCCACCTCACTGATGCTTCTAAACATTGTGGTGATAAGCCAGACTTGGTAACCCACCAGCCTAGGTAACCAAAACCTAAGAGCCCTTTGATTTTATTATGAAAAGTCAGGTTCCACGTTGTACATTTTGGCTTCTCATTTTGAAGAAATATATTAGGCCATGTTCTGATACCAGTGTTTCAGCAGTGAGCCTTCTCAAATTTAATTTAACATAGTGTTTTAAAACTGTAGAAGTGGTGATAACTCTGTGGCTAATCAATTCTTCTTAGGTGTTACTGGTTCCTGGAGGAGCATTCAATATCAATAGTTCAGAGCCTAGCTCTTATGTCAGAGCCTCCTTCTCTCTGTCTTCTCCAGCCCAGATGGATCTGGTAAGTGAGATTATTTTTTTTTTTTTATATATAACATTCTTACCAACACAATATTCTTATCTCACACAATAACGCTCCCTGCTTTTCACTTACCTCTCTTTATGTGTTTTCTTGAATGTTACTGTTGGTCTTTTAGTACTTAGGTGATTAAGCAGTACTTTTGAAGCAATATTAGCTGTTTCTTAGGCAAGATACTCAGATTCAAATGACCTAAAAGGTACCAAGTTTTTAGGACCGTGTAAAATGTACCTGTGTATCTCATACATGTAAAGTCTCACACTTAATCCTTCCAAACATTCTTCCTAAAGGCTTTACCAAAGTCAGAGTAAGTTTTGCTATTTGCTTTAGCATTAGCAGACATCACATATCCTTTATTTTCCAGACTTTCCATTCCTGAGATTGAATTACCTGTTTTCTTGTGTGTGTGTGTCTTGTCAATCCTTTATAAGAAAGAATATTGTTTCTATTTCATAGAGTTGGCATATATGTGGTATTTAATTACTCAGGAACTATTCTCCTATGTATTTTAGAAATATTTTGGATGTCATTTGGCTGTATCTGTAAAATCAGTAGGAGACATTTATTTGTGCAGATCTAATACTCCTTTGTTTTGAGTGCTTGAAAGTTCAGTATTTGTAGTTGTACTTTCAGTTGTGAAGGTTTGTAACAGATAAGCACTTCTATTGCCTTTCTGTTTCTTCTTATGTATGTATTCTTTTTCTTCCTCCTTCTTTGTAAAAGTAATCCATAGCCATACTATTGACAGTCAAATTGTATCTTTCAAATGCTTCCCCCCTGTTCTTCCTTTTCTTTCACCTTTGGAGCCTCTAGGCCCTTAGATTAAGCTAAAAGAGATACTCTTCCAGGGATCACTGGAATAATACATCACTGGATGTATTAAAAGTGCAAATGTTCGGTTGTAGCTGAACTCCAAATAACCTTTGACCACCAATATACATATTTTTCTATTTCAGAAAACGCTGCCTTTTAGTGGAAGCTTTGTCCAGTCAAAGCCTGTATATGTTGGTATAAAAGGAAAATTAGAATATCGGCAGAATTTTGCAGTATAAAATGCTGATTTTATATATGGTTAGGGTAGTTCAGTAGGTTTACAGGTTTGGTGTGTTGCCTATTTAAGTAATGCTGGAATATAAATGTGAACCATATTTGTGTCATTGCAGGCCTTCAAGAGACTGGCTGACCTTATAAAAGAAGCTTTGTGAAAAAGTTAAGTAGAATTCTTGCAGCAATCAAAATCATCTCCAGAAAATACTTACTAACATTGGGATTTTATCGTAACACTTTAAAAGCAAGCACAGTACAGTGGATGTTTCCTTAAATCGTTTCAGCTAAAAAAGCAAAAATTGAAAGAGTGAAAATCAATTTGCTTATTTTTTTTGACATTGCATTATTAAATTTATATCAATTCAGAAACATTTCAAATACTCAAAACCGAAATGCCCTGTTTCCTGTCAAATGCATGGTTTTGTTAGATTTGAATTGATTTTTGTTCTTGCTTTTGTTTTCCATTTGGGTTGGGAAGCAGGGAAGTCAATTGCTTACTTAGGAAGTTGCACCTGAGTTGGTTTTACCACTATTACCTAATCCCAACCGATACATTCCTCCCACACCTTACGTTGGAATTGTTTTTGTCTGTCACTTCTTATCCCCCTGTACGGCATCTAGTTTTGAAGGTTTGAAGATTGGTATTTAATTTTACTGAAGTTTTGTCAGATAAAGCTGATGTAAGGATGTTAAAAAATTGAAACTGATCCAGCAAAATGAGGCTACAATTACAAATAAAGCTGTTTGGCCTAAGGTGCCTTGCAATTTGCATGGGTTCTGCAGCTCATTCTCTCGTTTGTAAAAGGTTTTCTGATTGATGGCTTCCACTTCAGTCGGTGAATAATTACCCTGTACCTGTGTTAGAAAAATCTCTGGTTTGTAAAGGCATGTGGGTGTGCTAATAGAATTGCCCTCTGCTCATAGTCAATCAGACATGTTTTTGAGTGGAGGGTGTAAGTAACTGCACAGGGGATGTAGTGGAACGGGCAATACCCTGACGCTGCCAGATGTACAAAGCAAGCAAAATGAAAAAATAAAGAAATGTTTTGATCTCTAATCCCTTGGTCATTATCGTCCCAAACATTTGATACTTGACAACATGTACAGAACCTTCAGAAAGTTATAACTGTACAGATTCTCCAAGGCTTCCCACTTTGCTTAGTGACTTAAATTTTATTCACTGGATGAAAGCGCTGTGGGTTTCCATCAATAGCAGGTGGTTGTTTCTTTATGTGCAGGTGTTCAGAATTTCAAAGTAAAAACACATGCTCAAGGATCCAGTCAATCCTTCAGCAGCTCAGGTAACCCAACCAAATAAGGGTCAGGCACAACCTGGCTTACTTTGAAGTTTCACAAGAGTCACGGTTTTAGTACTAACGATAATTTTCACTCCCTCTTTTCCCCCTAATTAATAAACAGCATGTGTCATGACAAACTAACACAGAAGTGTGCCTTTCCCAGCATCTCTCTTATCATCAGGGTCATTCCAGTGCCTTCAGCCCATCACCTTTTATCTCTATCTCTTTTATAGAGCCTTTTCGTTTATTCACACCTCCAAATCATCTCTGTATTTTGCAACTTTTTGGGCAGCATATCTAAGATCAATCCTTTCCCCTCTCTCTAGATCACTGCAGTTTGTTAGTTGAGTCCATGTGATTTTTCCAGGCCGGTTTTCTCCGATTTGATGCCAGTGTGTGATGCCTTCCCTCTCAGACCCATTCCAAGTGCCTGATACGTTCCCAACTTGTTTGTTACTCCCGCCCTCCTCCTGCAAACACGGGGCTGGGTCCGTTGCCCCACCACACCTCCAGGTTCCCCTCGGAGCCCCCCCAGTCAGCAGGAGGAGTGGGGCTGCCAGTGGAGGAGGTCAGCCCCGCCACGGGGCCGGGCTGGGCTTGAGCACCCAGGACCCACGCGGTGCCGGAGCGCAGGGAGAGCCCGCAGCCCCGGCGCTGCTCTCAGGGCACCAACGCTGCCGTGGAAGACAAGCTTGTCCCTTTTTACACCATTCGATGGTGCTAACGAGGCCTCCAACCTAGCAGTGCCTTCTGTGCAGTGCTGCTTAACAGCAAGTTTGTACGTTTCAACTCAGTTTCTTAACAACGTGTAGAAATTTTGAAAGCTCTGACTTTGCCATCAGTAAGGCAATTTTTATATTGGGCTCAATTTAGAAAATAATTTTATACAGCAATAAATTGATGTGCCTGTTTAATTACTATCTTTTTACAGAGGAATAAATGTAAACATCGTTTAAGACTGATTTTAGTTTTCCAGCAAATGCTATTGTCTTTGTCAAATATTATTGTCATATTGTCATTCAGCCAGACCTGAATTAAAAAAACATCATCAAAATATCATTATTAAGCAAGCTTTATATTGGTGTTGTGTTGAATAATACACCTCTTAATTTTCAGAGATCTAAATGTTAATTTAGTTGAACGTAAGCAAAATGCAGTTCCGTTTGCTGCACATTAGATGCTTTTGCTGCCAGCTAATTTAATTTAGAGTTTCTTGACTCTGGCGAAGTGTCTAAAATTATATTAATATCCTGAACAATGCAAATTGAACAATGGAAGCAAAATCTTACATGCACATACTGTTTCCCTGAACCTCTTAAAGCACAAGTTCTGTTTCCCTGGGAGAGGGCATTTGCTGTGATTGTTCCTGGAGGAAGCCGCTTGGACACAAAAGGAAAAGGGTGGGCAACGGGCTCCCATAGGAAGAAACGATGTGGCAAATGAAGGCGTTGGGTTTCCCTTTCTGTTTATCCATCCAAGAGCAAGTAATGTCTCGTTCATAGCTGGGTTGAGGCCACCTGATGCAGTTGACACAATCTGCCACGGGGGAGGAGAGGCTGCAGAGGAAGGAGAGGGCTGGGCGTGGTGAGCACAGCCTCTGATGCTACCTAGGCACGGGCAGTTGTGGGGGAGCTTCCAGCAGTGCTGGGGAGAGCTGCCTGGGCAGGCTGGGTCTCCAGCTTATTTTTGAGTGGGAAATTACCCGGCCATTCTCTTGTATCTACACTTTGGTTCCACTGGATTTTCAGGCTTTTGGCAGACAAAAACCACCTAGGAATTCTGGGCAAGTAGCCGCTGTACGCGACCCAAACAATTCTGCTGTACAAGGAACATAAATCTGAACCCACTCTATGCACACCATGTTCCACACTTCTAGACTTGTGTGACGCATCCCACTTCTGCTTTGTGAGTTTTACAGAGGTAGCAAGGGGGAGCAGTTGTTCCCTGGGAGAATGGAAATATTAACTAGAACAACTTCAACATAATTCCTGAACTTCTGCATCAAACACATTTACAAATTTTAGGTTCGCATAGGTCATTTATCTGAAGGCAAATATGCCCCTTTACTTTCAAATGAGAGTCCTTCAGCATGGCTGTGATTAATGAATAATTGAGATGGGGAATTCATTAGAAGAGAGAATGTATGTGTGCATACAATATGACAGTTCTCACATTAAAATGTGAGCGTGCAAGTGAATTATTTCATCTAATTGAATGTCACTCCCTGAGCATCAGTGGTGGTGGCCAGGGATTTATAGGTTTTGTGGAAAACACTTGGTTTAGTTTTGGGGGGTTGTCGTGTAAATTCTGAATGCAAGTTTCATTTTAAACCTCGTCCTTTAAAAATCGCTTGATCTTTGTGGAACTTTGTATTTTAAAACCTCGTGGCCTACAGATCTGCAGTACTTGCTGTTCTGTTTGTGCAATCTGGATTGGGATACGCTGGGGCAAATAATTAAAAGAACTCCATTGAGCTGTACTGGTTCATGCCCTAATCTGTCTTGTTTTCTTTAATAACAGTTTTGGAGCAGCTTACTGTAGACTGTGTCTTAGACAGGAACAGAACGATTGCAGTGTTTGAACTGTAATCATTCTGAATGAAAAGCACTCTGTGAATACAAAGAAACACACATTTTCGTTCTTTAACATTGCTACCAGGAATACCACTACCTCACTTTTCTCCTAATGGCTGTGGAAGCTATTGTGTAGCCCTGCAAAGCTCAGGTACCATCATGGGAGAAGTATAAGGGTCTTGCTGATTCTTTTCGAGAACGAATATCCCAGAAATGTGTGAACAAATCTGACCGATGCTAGAACATTCCCTGCTAGCTGTACAGAATCTGGAGAATACCTTCAAAACTGTATTTTCTTTTTATTTTCAATTTACATTAAATCAGATCTGGATGGATATAGCAAGTGAATATGCTGTGATGTGACCTGGAAAAAATTAACATGAAGGTATTTCTGTTCCTTGATTTACATTGACTTTGAACTTCCTCGATGTTAAACTAATAACGAACTTTGAACCTAAAAGGTTCAAAAGGTTAAAAATATTTTCCTGCACTTTCCTCAGAAAAATCAAGCATTAACAGAAGTAGAATACCATTGGCCTGGCCTAGAATTTTGGCTTCTGCTTATTATATGCTGGAATTTCTAACCAGATCCAGCTTGAGACATAGGCCCTAAGACCCTCCAGGTGCATCGGCAGGTGGGAAACTCAATCTTTTCAGTGCACATCACCACCAGGTTGTAGCCACTAAGATGATGGTGGAGCAGCTGTGTGGCTCCATAGTACTGGGATAAGCACCAGAAGATGATGCAGGCACATCCTGAATTAGTGGTGGGCAACAGCACTAAAGAAAGGACAAGGTCACAGCTTTTGTACACTGCACATTTCAGCATGTAAATGCACGCCAGATCAGCAGAACCCCGGAGGACCGACTGCAGCAGTGTCTCTTTCAGGAAGGAGAATATCAGCCAGGGTAGACCCAGAATCCGAGAATATAAAAACTATTGGTTTTGCAGAAATGAGAAGTCTTTTCTGTTCTTTTTTTTTTCAGCTTGTTACATTTTTTGAATCCAGAAATCTGCTTATTTGTGTCATCAGCATGGATTACCACCTGCTTATGTGTATATAAAAATGCTTCAGGAAAAACCTATCCAGTTTGGCTCCTAAGAGAATACCCAGATGTTATCAAAATAACTGATATAACATTAGCTTTTCTATTGTTATTAGCCATGAAAATTTAGCAGAAGGTAGAACACCTCTAGCTACGGAACCAACAGCAAAGTTTGATTTTAGCAATCATGAATGTGGCTTGTTCGCCTCCATTTTGTAGACACCAGAATTCAGGAACAATTTGAAACACTGAATTTCTTTACTTTTTCTTTTTTACATTGTATTTGTTTAGAATGTCTTTAAATTAAATTATATGTAGTGAAAGCCAATATTAAAAAAATTTAACTGGGTAAACTAATCCCTATACCACTGCTAGCTATGTTTATGAAGTTGCACTAGTGCTAGCCTAGTTATTCCAGGAGAATTTTTTGGAGTTACAGCTTTATTGATAACTTATGTTTCTATTTTTCTGAGATAAAAAAGTTTTTCTGACAAGATCAAATTATTTTATTGCCTTCTATGGAATCCTCTTTCAATTAGATGATGTATAATTTAATACTCTCTCTCACTGTCTGCCTCTCCCCCTAAAACAATAAAGAGGAAGGATGGAAACACCAGTTCAGTTTTCATGATGGACTATGTAAACCACTATTTTCAACACAGTTTCAAGGTCTTGGGAGCCATTATTTAATAAGCAGATAAGCTAATTTCTGCATCTCTGAGGAAGACTCAGAGTTACGGTCTTAGTATGGGCATAGGCAGTTAAAATGTATACATTTTAGGCATCCCACAAACATGAAAGGAAACAGCAAAAAACCCTTTAGAAATACTTAAGAAGATAAATACTTTATCACAAACCTAAGCCAAAAGAGAACGGCCTTGATTCTTACAGATACATTATTCAGTATCGAATTTTTTCATACCTTTTCCATGTCAAGTATTTAACCCACACTTTTGCATCTCAGCACATTTTTTTCATCTGGATTTCTTTGTTCAGCCCTTTTCATGGATCTCCCTGATCATTTCCTCCATGGGCCCCCCAGGTAACGTATTTTTTCAATAATCAAGGCCAATTATTTTCTTACAATTGCCATCACCTTATTCTCTGCATTTGTTGTAGGTCACATCGTACATAATCCC